TTACTCATATCTCATGATTTCAATAGATTTTCTTTTTGAAAATTAAGAAACATAAATTTCTTTGATAAATATAAATATTTCTGGAATTCTATAATCTGTCCATTATGACAGAACAGGCATAAAAAAGCACAAAGTAATAAGCATTGATAAGGCCAATTATCATCATGAACTTTCATGCTTTTAAAAATCACAAATCACCCAACTATAGCCAATCATTATGCAACTCTATGATTGTGATCTGCATGAACATTGTATTAACTATAATTTTGTCGATTTATTCAATATCTATCATAAAATTGCATTTATAATAAAAATTACCCATTTTTCTGTTGTAAAATTATTTTTCAAACATAGTTTGACAATAAATAGGACATTTTCAGCTGCAAAAGATAAGATAGAATGCCGTAATCATCCTGTTATTTTATTAAATGATAAGAAAATGATATATGGAGTAGTTAAATTTTTACAGAAAATCGGGTAAAATAACCTTACTGTATGTGAATAACATTTCGAGTAAAAAACCATACTTCCGTTAAATAAAGACAAAATATACGATATTGTACTGTATAAAACTAAAATATCCGGTATTAAATCATTTATTCGGTAACAATTTCACTGATATGGTAATTGTATACCGGAAATTCTGGTTTTCAAATTTATAGCTCTTATTATTACACATTTAACAAAAATATTTAAACTAAAAAGTAAATTTTACCGAAAAAATAGTTTTTAAGCCATGCTCTAACTATCATGATAAAATTTCCAAATTTTATCACATATTATAAAACCCAGTTTCATTCACCAAAATTACTACCAACGCGCTTCGGTAAAAATTACTGAGCTTTTTGATGTTCTCATAAAGCCAGAAACAGATTAAATTTGAACATACTTTATTTTCTCCACGTAACAAGCAAATTTCTATCAATCTAAGATATGCTGTTATCATGATACAACTTCATATCAGCAATCATCATACTTAGTGCTAGAAATCCTCACAGAAATTTACACCAAGAATTACATATGTTCAATATTAACTGAGAAAAATTGCTAATGACAACTTATTTACGATTATAATAATGAAGGATTTTCGAGTGAAAATGTCTTATACTTAAGTAGTTTGTTTAATTTAACCTAACCAATTGCTTAATTCGAAGATTAAGAAATGATGAAAGGTTAAAATTGTTTGTAATACTTGTAATTCATGTAGAATGTAGCTAAAAACTGTGGTAAAATTTCATTTGTCTTTAACTTTTCTACTAATCTATTGTATGTAAGTCAAATTAAGCGTTACTAGTTAATTTTTTAGTTGTCATTAATAGTGCAGTGAAACCTCCAGGAAAGACCACCACTTCCTCCTCCATTGACGACCACTTTTGGGAGGCAAGGAATATTTCTTCCATAGACTTCGTATTGAAGAAGACCTTCAGAAGAGACCACCAAAATCTCTCCCATTGAAAAGGCCATACAAAGAAGCACGAAAACGTATTAAAACAGAAAATATGAACAAAATAAATAAATAGATTCAAATGCATTTAAGATATATGTGAGTGGCTCGTATATAAAGTGCTCTTTTTAATCCTTTCTGAGAGAGATTGATAACCTTATGTTAAAGTCAAAGTGCACTAAAGATGATGATATTCATGATTTATTTTTGGAATTGAAAGTTAAATTTGAAAAAAAAAGTTCCTTTAGAAAAAATTAAACATCTCAAGTAAACAAACCTCTTCTCATTCTTTAAAGTTAACTACCGTAAACCGAGGCGAGTCTACCTATTTTTTCAGTTTGTCAAATTTCAAGTGGTCAAACTTTTGTAAATATTAAAGAAAAAAGGCTTTTAATAGGTGTTTCGGAATCGCTATTTATCCTTCTTTAAAGCTGTGAAATCGATTTTAGAAAATATGAACAGTTGCGCTGTTTCTGTATATTTTTATAGAACTGCTGACAAATCTCTCGTATGGGGCGAGTCTACCCATTCTACTAAAATGAATGTTAACATTGTAAATAATCAAATTTTACTATTAAATTGTTATTTTAGTTACTATATAGGATATTTATGAAGTAAAATTCATAACTTTATTATATATTCCATTTTTTTATTCATAAAATAACACAAATTGAGTATTTGATCGATTATCACATTTTGATCACAGTTTTGTTTTTATAATCATTAACATTATAAAATAACATTTTTTTCTGATTATTGTTGATAAAAATAAATTAAAATTAATATAAATTTACAATTAAATAATTAATAAATAATAATAATTAAAGATTATTAACAAAATCGAAATTCAAACATTGGGAATCATGAAAAATCCTTTTCCCATTCTTTTGGGAGGTAATAATAATTTATAAATAATAATTTATTTAACTTGCATTAAATAAAAAAAGTTAATTTTGTAATATAAAAATTGAAAAAATAGGTAAAATAAACATATTTTATATTTACATTTATATTTAACCTATAAATTTTCTTATTAATGATAAATTTATCAATGCAGAATTAAAATAATATACTCAAATTCATTTAAAATGACTTAATTTTAATATAAACAAAGTTCTAAATTATATTATTATGCTTTATTAAAACTAAATACGAATGGGTAGACTCGCCCCGCGAATTCTGGCTTTTTGTTTACAACAGCAAAACTTACATTCTTTTTGTTTTTTTTCATATAAAATTAATGTAATCTTAGTCTTAGATAAGTTTATCACTTAACCAAAGTGAAAATAGTAATAATAATAATATACTTACGGAGCACCAACTAAAAGTTTGCTGATTTTCAATACAAATCTCTCAAAAGACGTTTGAACAGGTCGGTTAAAAAGACACCAAATAAATAAAAACGGATCAAACTACTACAGCGCCATCTTCCTTAGAGTCTGAACTAAGTCCTCCGTCGGTAAAATTTTTTTTATTTGCAATTTAAAATAGTGCAAATTAAATAAAACTAAAATGGGTAGACTCGCCCCTGAATGGGTAGACTAGCCCCGGTTTACGATAATTTTTATGATATAAAATTAAATGCAAACTTAAACAATAAACGTTATTGTTCATTTATTTAAAATAGTTCTATCATTTATAATAGGTAGATTTGCTTTTACGTATAATTATGGGTCACTTTTAGAAACGCTGAGTTTTCATTGATCTGGTTTTCATGATGCCATCACAAGTGGCACTTCTGCACCAAGAAAATGACACTCAGTAAAATCAAAAGCATTTACGAAAAATCATGTACCTTCGATATTCTTTTCGAATGCAATGGAGGTAACCCGTAAGAACGACCCTCTTCCATTAACGACCATTTTACTGTGGAACAGAGAGTGGTCGCTCCCGAGAGGTTTCACTGTATTATATATGTCATTCATTTCAAATATATTAGAAAATATCCCTTGATCTTCTTCAAACCTTCCCTTTTGAGTTCGAAGTTAAAAGCTCTTTTTAACTTAGATCGAAATGAAATTTGAAAAGGTGACATGTTTTGCGCTTTTTAATTGCTAAGGCAGTTTCCCGGCGCCAACTTACACAAAGAAACACCATACTTTTCGACATAGTCTTCGATTTAAATTGAAAAGCTGATCCTTTCTTTCTAAACTCTTTTAAGAAATAGAAATTCGCTTCTATTCTAATCTTCCGTTTGAACATTAAGAACAACTGTCGCTTTGTCTCAACGTTCTTAAAAGTTGTATAAGAGGTTGTAGCTGTTAAGGAGTTTTAGAACTTCTTTTATCCCAGCAATAACTGTTATTTTTCTCCAAGAGAAGATTTCAATCGATTCACTATATTTTATTTTAAGTTATCGAACTTTTATCTATATTTTTTAGCTTGTATTTGCTCTCAAATATTAGTTTTGTGTTATTTCCAGTGAGTGGTTTTGAAACTTGTCCTCTATCCCATTTGAGAAAAAAAAAGATTTGATTTTTCTCGGATTTTTTCGATATAATTTTTAAATTTCTTCAGGCATGAAAGTGGGTATTTTTTACTTTAACCCTTCTTCAGTAAATCGAACACGCTTTTAACTTTTATTGTTATCTACTAAAATTTCAATTTTTATGTATAAATATTTTTTATCCTAATTTCAAAGTTACTTCATATTAAAAACACTACAATATATATAATTTGCTGAAATGAAATCATTCTAAGCTATGTTTTATAGCTCTTGAATATTTATTTCTGGTGAATACTTCTTAATATCAGTTTCATTCATCAAAATATATTTCACAAATTTGTTAAACCGTGAAAATGTTAAGTTGTTTCATTTTGAGTTAAAAATATTTTGTCGAACTTAACTTGTGTTTAGTGTATAACGTGAATATCATACATTGGTATTCGTGAATAATTAATAAATAACTAATAATAGAACAGCCGTTTAAGATATATATTCAGCTTTGTTCTTAAGGTGTTGATATTTAAAAGTAGAAAAGTTTTCTCTGTTTCTTATAAAACTCAATTTATTTTAGAAAGAAAATCGAAACAATACTGCTATTTTCACTATATTTCTGTATTAGAAAAATTATCCATATTGTTTCATTTATGTATAAAATAAGTAAAGGATGGCTGAAAATTTTATGAAAATAATCAATCCTTTAAAGCTTTATGTCAGCTTCTTACAGAAGGTGTTGATATTAAAAAAACAGAAAAGTTTGTTTTATTCTAGCATTTTTGGATAAAAATCAATTCATTTTAAGGTGGGAATAGAAACAATGCGGATATTATTATACAGCACAAAATGAATTAATCTTTTTTTTCCGCGGAAGATGCCAAAAAAATGGCAACGGAAAGAAAAATGTTTCGAGATCTTCAAATTCCTTCCGTTCAGACTAAAATTGATGGATACTACTTTCAAATTCATGCGCTGCTCTTGCGTTTTGTAATTCAAGTATGCTGAGACCAAGTTTCCATGAACCATCTATATCTCTTCCTGTCGATCTTTTCAGTATGTATTTCTGTATGTATTTCTTCTCGATCTTTTTTCAGTATGTATTTTTTTATTTTTCAGTTGAGGAAATCGGTCCAAGGCCACGTATTTCTCACTAAAACTGATCTAGAATCGGAGGGTATCTACAGATGCGAGGCATCAGCTGAATCACCTACTTTTCAGACGGTTGAAGCGGAAAAGCAAATGAAAGTATACGGTAAGCTTATTCTCTATAGGAATTCAATATATTTATAGAGAAAAATAGCGATATGGAGACCCGTTGAATGATTTATAGATTTCTTTTTTAAAAGGACAATCGTGTGAGAAGACCATTTTTAACTAATATGTACTTAGCTTATGCTTTCTCCTACAAAAATATATTATTTGAAAGATTATTTTTAGGAAGTAACAGATTCCTTTGGGGGGCATTTTAAAACAAGAAAACTTATATTTCTTTTAAAATATGACTAAAAAAAATTATTAATTCTTATTTTATCTGGTTGGGAAAATCAGCTGAATCGCCGACTACATTCAAGGTGGTCGAAGTTAAAAAGCAAATGCAAGAAAACGGTAGGGAATTCAATTAGTTAATGTAGCAAAATGGTGGTATGGGGGACCATTGTTCGTTAGAAACAATAATAGTCGAAGAAATAAGCCATTTTTAATTAATTAGAATTTATCCTTTGTATTTATTATTATCTATGTATGAATAGGTAATTATTGTCGACATAAAATTTCCCTGTACATGTTCCTATGCAATTTTATTCCTGATGATACAACCTAACTTCAGTAAAAGTTTCTTGCAATACTTACGTAAGAGCCACGAATGCTCAGTGGGATGGAGCGTTCGCCTTCCAATGAGGTGAACCGGGTTTGAATTTCTGCGATGTCTGGTGAATACGATTTCCACATGCGGCCTGCACCGATCACAGTGCTGACGTAAAATATCCTCTGTGGTAGGCGGATAATGGGTAGAATCCAATTGACGTCAATCTAACCGTGGGAGGTCCCCGTGGTCTTCCTCTCCATGTAACGCAAATGCTGGTTAGTTCCAACAAAAAGTTCCCCACGAAGGAAAATTTCTATCAATACTTGATCCAAGAGTCTCCTTGTCTTTTGGATTAGATTCAGAACTACAAGATTACGGAATTAAACATTAGTAGTCGTTAAGCCAAAAAATTAGGTCAGCTGTTCAACGATGGTTATAAAATTTAATAAGAAACATTTACGTAACCCCTTGTAATATATAACTTTTTTAAGCTTTCGCATTTTGCAAAAAAGTAGATTTAAAATTGTCATTATAAAACTGTAGCTTGAGGAAAGAGAAACCGATTGCAACTCTGAAATAAGCGATGTAAAAATATCTAAGATATGTTAAAAAATCTCACGCAGCAGAAAAAAAATAATAATTCCCAGTAATATCTATAAAAGCAAGATAATTTTTTTGCCAATTCTTTCGAAAAAAATAATTTCAAAATAATTGTTTTATATAGAATAACCGTTCTCGTAAAGACATTTAATAACAAATAGCACCCAAATATCATGCAAGCATAACAATAATTTGGCCAACAAAAATTCATTATAGCCCATTAAAGTTATATTATTATCTGCCTGATGAAGTCAGTTGACTCATTTACTTTTCAAACATATAACGGAAAAGAAAACACTTAAAAAATGGTGATAAAAGCATTTTTGGAAGATTTATAGATTTATTTTTTTAATGTTATAATCATGCGAGAAAATCGCATTAAACGGTATTTTATGTACATAAATTTTGTTTAGGTAGTCATTATCAACAAAAAAAGAAACATATAATTCTTTTTTTGTTTTGGAAAAAAATGAATGTTGTCAATAAGATTAAACATTTTCATGAAAGGTGTTTTATAAAAGATAATCAACGAGTTTTTGTTTACAAAACTGTGTTAATACTTCTGAATCTGCCTGAGGTGAAGAATTGGTTGACAGAAACCTACCGAGATTCCGGAAATTGCTAAATGCGGGTGTCAGAAATATAAATGGCGAATACGATATTGAATGCTGTAAGACATTTTGGCTGCTAATAAACTAAATTTATGAAAATTATTTCAATTTTTATAAGCAGCTTCACAAAAAATTTGTATTTATTTCATGAATTTGAAAATATTAAGCAAAACATAACATTTCATTGACGTTTTTAGCATTCAAATGTATATAAATGCGTCGATATACACTTATTCAATAATGTACTATTCACTAAAAGTTTCATCATTTGAAGTCAAAAAAAAAATTTTTTTTAAATGAGATATGTAGAATGTTCTGAAAGATTGAGCATTGACCAGTACTGAATTAATCATAAATACGAAAATTTTTAAACCATTGTTGTTTCTAATGGTACTTGGACAAGCCAAGCTTGCCATCCCTAGGCTTTTGCTAATTAAGTCTGGAAGGAACGACTTTCTTTAGACAAGAGGGCACCAATAGGATGAAAGTGCGACCTAATTCTGAACCTCCCCCCCCCCTCGAATATGTGGCAGCACCACTCATTTGTGAGATCACTTCCTTAATTAGGACATAGAGCTGGAGGGGAAGGACATTTTCTCCAGACTCCTGTAGTCATGGCTCAGCTATTTATCACAGGATTTTCGATTTCACAAAATTTGTGAGCAATTATATTGCATGTACTCGTTTTATTAACTAGTTATAGAAAAAAAATCGTTAGAAAAATAATTGCGTCATCAGTAAGGAGACTTGAATGTCATTCCAAAGCAAAAACGTAAGCTGTGGATTACTTGTGAGCAAAACAGAAAACAATTATTTCTATTCTATGCTATCAAATCGCGTTATTCCATTGGCTTATTTAAAATACGTTTCTGATATTTTTTGCTGGTATAGTTAAAGAACTAATGTAATCCCCGAACTTTATTTAGGAAGCATATTAAAATGTGCTTTTTAAGATGCTTCCAAAATCCCCCAGAAGAGTGTTTAAATTGAACAGATGTTATAAACATAAGTTATATTAAAATTTCTTTTAACTATTGGCAAAAAAAAAACTTTATAAAATTAGTTGCGTATTCAGTCAGTGCAGAAACTTAAGCTGTGGATTAGTTGCGAGTAAACTAGAAAACAATTCTTTCGATGCAATGCTATCGAAACGCGTTATTCCATTGACTTATTTAATATTATAAACATGTCATAATAGAATTCAAATTGAGAAATAAACTTTAATAAGTAAATACTGTTGAAAAGGGCTAAAATTTAAAGAACTACTTTACTGATTTCATTTATATTTATGCTTTGTCAAAAATGAATGACTGCAATTAAAATAAAAGTATTTAATTAATTGATATTTTTAATTAAAATGCTTTTATGATATTCAAAGATTGAACATGCATTTTGGTTTTAATGAAAGAAATCCCTTTAAATTTGAACTCTGAATGGCGGCCTTTTTATTTTTATGAATATATTTATTCATCTTGAAATTATTTTCAAAATTTATTCACGGTTTTAAACAAAAGTGCAATGCAACGAAAGGAATTAGTTTGTTCATTGTTATTAAATACACATAAATTTCTGATTTACAATAACTATATATTTACAATAACTGTATTTTTACAATAAAGAATAAAAAATTAATTATATTTTTTGCATCAAATTTGTTTCATTTCTAAACAAATAATGTTTTAAATTAGTATTTAAAGTTATCACTTAAAATCTAATTAATTAATTGAAGTGATATTTTAATAGGTTGCTTCGAGAGTAAAAATTGTTATAAAACCTTTTAATTGTTGAACACATAAATAGAAAGTAGGGGTATAATTTGAATTTTTCTACAGTCAAAAAAGTATGAAAGGCGCTTAAATTAATTCATTTATTTATGTTTAATTGTGTATGAAAAATGAAATGTGTTAGATTGCTTCAAGAAATTTTTTTCGTTAATTCAATTTTTCTTGCTCTTTTAATTAAATGGTTGCTTTGGAAAATAATTTAAATTTAAAAAAAAATAAGGAAAATTTTTTGCTCATATATACAGCACGCAAAACCTGAATTAGTACAACTTAATAACGTTTGATCTGCACTACTAAACAATTCTGGATCAAATTTAGGTAAAAAGTACTAGCAACGACTGTGAAAGTGAAGGCAACGACTGTAAAATCCAATTTTAGTCGTAAGACTTTATACCGTAATTTTTACAATAATATTAAGCTAATTGCAGGGATTTTGCTGTAAATGTTAATGTAAAGATTATGGTATATCAGATTTTTCGGTCAGTAAAACTTTACGGTGAAAAATGATTTTATGGTAAAAAGTTCTGGCACCCTGAATGCCATTACTTTTTTACCGTAATTTGATCCGGAAGTTTTTACAACGTAATGATTGAATTTTTATGCATAGCGTTGCTTCTTTAATTATTTGAGAATCTAACCTTTAATATGCTAATTTTAAGTTACGGCGGATAAGTAATCAGATAGGAAAACATACTTTCTCTGAGCAACAAACGTTTTTCCTTGACTCTACCGATATTTTAGCCAGGAATGGGTCAAAATTTGGGTATCTTAATGTTAGTTTCACTTTTTACGTATTGTTCTATTCGTCAAAAACTATTTAAATGAATCATAAAATTCTGACACATATCTATAAAGCTAGTTCATCCAATGTAACGAACATTATGTAAAAATACTTTTTCATAATTATTTATCATCTTTCATTCTAATTTAATAATGGATGAAAGAATTAAATTATGAAAGTTGTGTTATTTCAAAAAACAAGATACAGAATTTGAACGGAATCGGTTAAATAGTTCTTGGAAATGAAAGTTTAAAAATGCTGCATTTTTTGATGNTGTTAAGGTAAAGATTATGGTATATCAGATTTTTCGCTCCGTAAAACTTTACGGTGAAAAATGATTTTATGGTAAAAAGTTCTGGCACCCTGAATGCTATACCGTAATTTGATCCGGAAGTTTTTACAATGTAATGATTGAATTTTTATGCATAGCGTTGCTTCTTTAATTATTTGAGAATCTAACCTTTAATATGCTAATTTTAAGTTACGGCGGATAAGTAATCAGATAGGAAAACATACTTTCTCTGAGCAGCAAATGTTTTTCCTCTACCGATATTTTAGCCAGGAAAGGGTCAAAATTTGGATATCTTAATGTTAGTTTCACTTTTTACGTATTATTCTATTCGTCAGAAACTATTTAAATGAATCATAAAATTCTGATACATATCTATAAAG